CTCCCGCTGCACTAATGTATTTTGACAGCGGCATGTTTCCCTGCTGTCAGCACATAATGATCATTGCTGCCAGCTATAGGCAGCAGCAGTAATTGTAGGATTAATAGATCAGCTTCAGTACAACCGGCCTGCCCATAGGTGGACTGAAATTTGGCCAATTCTTGATGAACCGATCAAATTTTCGATCCGTCTATGGCCAGTTTAGGAGCTCTCCAAGGTGGGTGGCCAGGTGGCAGTAGAAACAGGCAGCTGAGCTATGGTTTTACCGATTCCTGCTCCTCAAATTGTAATAATATAGCTGGACAGGGCTGTACTCAAGCTGATGAACGCTTGCCTCACAGTTGTGGTTCAGTCCATCAATTAATTATTATTGCGATTTTTTAATATCGAAATAGAAAGCACACACAAAAAACAGGCATTTAGGTAGTAGCGCCTCCTGAAGGCCTGTCAAGTACTGCTATACTATTCCCCTGAAAAGCCTGTAGCTGACATTTTGACTGTCAGGGTCCTATCTATGTGTGATATGCCCCTATGTCTCTCTAAGCTCCATCCCAAAGTTAACTCTTGTGTTGCAGGGACCCTCTGCGCTTCCGGGCCCCATAGCAGTCCCAATGTCTGCTTTGGCTATAGGTCTGCCATTGAGTGGTCTAAGAGCTAATGAAAGTGATGTACATGCTGATGTGTAGCTGAAAACAAAACTTCATAGAGGACCACAGATGCCTATTAAAGGTTTAAAAAAAACAAAGAGACAACAGAGTGACAGTTTGTCAATTTTATTATAAGTATAAGGCAGACCCTGCTCTGCAGGGCAGATTTGGCAGTGCCACCAGTAATCCCTGTGTTAGTAAAGTATATGGCTTCTACATGGCAGGTAAACATTAGACAGGGACTCACCAGAACATCTCATGAAACTCGTTCCCTTAGAACTTCTCAGACCTCATCAGTAAATTGTTAGTCCCCAAACACTGATGTTTCAGTTGATGCTGGACTGCTGGCTCACCCTCCAGGTTCTTATATCTCTTTAGGATTCTGGTGCTTTAAGTATACGAGGCTACAACTATGCTCACCATATGTGGCCACTGTAATGGGGTCTTTTTATCTTTTTTTTTGCACTTTTATTTTGTTTTACGATTAGAGGAGGACTAAGATTTCTCATGCAGCCACAAGAAGAGTGAGTGTCCATGGCTGCAATGTAGAACCTGGATCTCCAGCAAATAGACTTTACTTGGGAAGACCACAAAGTGTGACAAGTCAGTTGACAATTCAACTCACAAGTGGCTATCCATAACCAGAATGTCAGGGTTGGACAGAATAAACCTTTAAAGAGGCCATGACAGCATCAGTGTATGGACACTTCTATTGTTGACCTGTTTTTTGAAGGTACAAGCTGTTAGGCATTTATCTTTACTTGGCGATAGCTATTCAGGTAGGAAGTTGTGTCTCATATTGTAGTCTTTTGACACATGAATGGTTTTTAGGCTTCTTGTTGGGCAATAGGTGCCTCTCCAGCCACAGGTGGACCTTACATTTTTGCCACTTTCCCACGAAAGTCCATTCATCACTATGGGCTGGTGGGTGTAAATGGACTTGTGTCTGATTACACCCGCCTACCTCCTATACAATCAGGTCCATTAAGAACAAACAGAGGGGGGTCCTTTCTTTTCTGTGTAGGTGGATCGGATCAAAGGGCAGTCAGGTGTAAACAGACAACGGAGTCCAAATACACCCAGCCACCCATAGAGCAGAACGGCTCTATCCATTTCTGCTCTGTAGAAACTGAGCGGAAGCAAAAAAAAAAGAACTGATTCCCCCATCTACACATTGGAGGTGGATGGGGAATCCTCTTGCTGTGCTATTGTATTCTGGTCATGGGACTCCTCCACTACCAGAATACAATGATCAGCACTGCAGCCAGCTGGTTCAGCAGGCAGAATTTCGATCCATGTATGGCCAGTTTCAGGCCTTTAAGAGGTCTACAAAAGGGGAGCTTTTATAAGTAAAACAATGTTATAATCAAGCGGAGCTGGTGCTACCCTGCTCCTATGCAAACAAAGATGTTCTTTAAATAAAAAATATGTGTACTAAATTCAGTGGCTTTTATGTTAACCAGCTGCAAAGTACTGCGGACAGGGGGCCACTGCAGGCAAAGCAACCTACCTGTACATCGCTGCCTACGTCCGGGTTTAGGGCACATGCAGTCCGGCACCCGCTGTGATTTTACACAGTGGGAGCCTGCCAGCAAGTCCCACCCAATGATTCATGGCAGGGATCTGCTGATTGGCTGTGTGCAATCAAAGCCCCAAGCTCTGTGTTGGTAAACAACACAGAGCTCTGCACAGATGGAGCGATCTGTCAGTTTCTCATCCTTGCAAAGTAGTCTGCCACGGTGGCAGATAGGATGTTACAGCGGAGCGGAGAGAAGAACACCTGCCTACTGTCATGAGGGGGACTGTTGGAGCATTTTACATCCCTCATATGGGTGTATCATACATCATATAACATGGATTGAAATTTGCCTGCTTTCAGCAGGGACAGGCTAAATTCTGATCCATGTGTGGACATTGCTGCTCAACAGAAGTCGATCAACTGATTTCTTTTGAATGGACCTGTTGGCGGTTGCAGCGCTGATCTGTGTATTCTGACAATGGAGGAGTCCCCCTGCAGTCAAAATACAATAGCACAGCAGGGAGGATTCCCCCATCCACCTCCAATGTGTGGATGGGGGAACTGGTTCAGTTTTAGCGGTACAGTCAGCACCGTGAATGGCCAGTTTAAGTTATCAGTAGACACACCAAATTATTCCCTTCCTTTTATCTGTGGGAGAATCCACACCCACAGCTCTCCAATGAACATCACAGCAAAGTAACTGAAAAATGCATTAGGGTGCAAAGGGGGTTTTCATAATAGCGGACAGATCTTGATGCCAGAATCCCATCATATAAAAAAACTGGCGGTTGAGTCAGTATCAGTTTTGGGTGGACTGTTCTAGATAAGCAGTTAGTCTGGGCCAATAACTGAATATCTCATGCAGCAAGTAAAGGACTAGAGATGTCTGATTTTGTAAACTGTTATAGTAATGGGGAAAAGGGGGGGGTGGTAAAAAGGAAATGACATCTGTGCTTGCAATATCACAATTGGACCACGTTCTTGTACACGACAGGCAAACACTGTACAATGATCTCACAGGCCAGATGACCGGCTTTTCGTGAAGCCTGTGTACTTGGTGCACAGTGTACAGCTCTTGTGTAGCATGTTGGTCCGGTTTGTGACTGGACAGGAATGCTGGGAGTATGTAAACAATTGGCCTGAGTTTATTTTTCCCTGGGATTGGAATGTAGTCGCTGAACCGCCTTCGCCTTCCAAGCCATTTCCAGTTACATGGGAGAGGGGGAAGAGGTGAACAGGCAGCTGGGAGCATCAGGGGTCACTGCTAATCCTGGAAGAGACAAAAACACAGACCTGTGAGCCAAAACCTGAAGCTCTTTGAGTGTACACAGGAACAAAGGAGTGTGCCAGCACGTGGGCAAGGAGTGTGCTAGCACGTGGGCAAGGAGTGTGCCAGCACGTGGGCAAGGAGTGTGCCAGCAGGTGGGCAAGGAGTGTGCCAGCACGTGGGCAAGGAGTGTGCCAGCACGTGGGCAAGGAGTGTGCTAGCACGTGGGCAAGGAGTGTGCTAGCACGTGGGCAAAGAGTGTGCTAGCACGTGGGCAAGGAGTGTGCCGGATGTGGGCAAGGAGTGTGCCAGCACGTGGGCTGTTATACCATATATACTAATGTTAAAATGGAAATCTCTTTTTAGTGTTGAATAGAGCACTGGTGGTGCATTACAGGGTTAGGACCTCTACTGCTTTTTTTTTGCTGTCCTTATTGAGGAGATTTTCTCTCACTTCCTGTATGGTCAAAGTAACAGAAAGTGAAGAGAAATCTCCATAGCAGGGGGCACAGATAGCAATAACAACAACCAGGGGTTCTAACCCTTCCAGACTAAACAGGACTAAGAAGAAGAGTTTGGGCTGTAGTTCCATTATAATAAAGCACAGGTTACAATTATACACTGAAGCCAGCCAGTGCAGTCTAGAAATGATAAGGAACTTTATAGGAGGCAGGAAACATGTTTTCACTGAAAGTAGGAAAGTCACAAAATGTTAGGTACCTTCCTAAATGTACAGGAGGTGACTGGAAATCTTGCCATGCTCTGGTGACCTAAAGTGATACTAAAGGCTTACATTTAAAAAAAAAAAAAAATTACAAACATGTTATACTTACCTGCTCTGTTCAGTGGTTTTGCACAGAGCAGCCCGGAACCTCCTCTTTTCAGGTCCCCTGCCAGCGCTCCTGGCCCCTCCCTGCTGTCGGGTGCCCCCACAGCAAGCAGCTTGCTATGGGGGCAGCTGAGCAGGCATGTTCCCAAGCTGCTGCTCTGTGTGTCCATTCATACACGGAGCTGCAACTCGGCCAAGCGCCCCTCTCTTCTCATTGGCTCACTGGCTGTTACTGACAGCAGCGGGAGGCAATGTCTCCCGCTGTTGTCTCAGCCAATGAGGAGAGGGAGTCCCGGGATAGCCGAGACTCCAGTACACATTTATGAATTGAGAGGGGGTTTAGGTGTTAGGGGAGGCTGGGGGGGATGGTGCACAGAAAAGGTTTTTTACCTTCATGTATAGAATGCATGAAGGTAAATATTCTTGAGCCTTTACAAGCACTTTAAGCTAGCCAAACATTATTTGAATTGCATCCAATTCCTACTGAATTGGATGAAATTCGACCTGTGGGTCGCCCTATGAGCGCCACCCGGCTTGACAAAAGTTGATGTAAAAGTAGACTGAGCCAGGTGAAAAGTATTGGCCAAACAGTGACTGCATCCTATCAGATGCACAGGGTGCTGCTCCTCTTGGCAGCAGTGTTTTGGCAGAAAAATGTCTGACGCTTTTAAAAGTGTCTAACCGTTGCCGTCCATCCTTTGCTGCGCTGGTCAGTCTCAGTGGAGTCTTCACTGTTCACTATACAGATGATGTTATATATTGGGATATGTCATGAATGTATTCATGTAGATTGAGATATCTACTCCAGTCCCTATAACATTTTAGCCTACACGTCTGGTCATTAAATCCACTCACCCATTCATCCTCATCTACCCCTTCAAAGGCATCCTGGGGCAGTGGGTCATCCCGGTTGCCTAGTTTTGCCACCATCGCATTCAGTAGCTGAAAAGGAAAGAGAAGTGAAGTGTCATTAGGTGAATTTATCCATAATCATCGACCATATTGTAGCCTGAAGAGACTATATCAGAGATACGGTTCAACTTGCAATGTTATATTTAAGTTTAATCTATAAACACACAATTCATAAATTATCATCTCTATGCCTACAATGAATCATAGGATCTATTCTCAGAAATAACTGGTTAACCCCTCAAAATGACTATATCTTTAGTAAAAAGTAAATACCGTATTTTTCGCTCCATAAGACACAGTTTTTTTCCCCCAAAAAAGGGGGGAAAATGTCAGTGCGTCTTATGGAGCGAATATAAAGCGGCCGGTCCGGTATTTCTGCTGCCACCACGTCAGAATACCGGGCCGGCCGCTCAGCTCTTCTCTCCTGCAGGACCTTACCTGTTCCTAGCTCCAGCACTGTACAGTCTTCCCACGCTGGCTTCTGTGACAGCCGGGTGCCCACTGCACATGCACTTTGCTTTGTAAATGGTCCGGTGTCTTCTGGGACACATGACAGGTCCCAGAAGGCGCCGGGCCATTCACAAAGCGCAGCGCTTCTCGCGCATGCGCAGTGGGCACTCGGCTGTCACAGAAGCCAGCGCGGGAAGAAGAAGGAAGGACAACTCCGCGAAAGTTGGAGCGGGTACCTGTCAAATTCAGGTACCCGCTCCCCCTCCCTCCCCAAAGGTCAGCAGTCTCTGGTCATCTCCTTTACTGTCTGCAGTCTCTGGTCATCCCCTGTACTGTCTGCAGTCTCTGGTCATCTGCACTGTGTCCCTGGTATTTTCCCTGTACTATGTCTGCAGACTCTGGTCATCTCCTGTACTGTGTCCGCAGTCTCTGGTCATCTCCTGTACTATGTCCGCAGTCTCTGGTCATCTCCTGTACTATGTCCGCAGTCTCTGGTCATCTCCTGTACGGTGTCCGCAGTCTCTGGTCATCTCCTGTACTATGTCCGCAGTCCCTGGTCATCTCCTGTACTATGTTCGCAGTCTCTGGTCATCTCCTGTACTATGTCCGCAGTCTCTGGTCATCTCCTGTACTATGTCCGCAGTCTCTGGTCATCTCCTGTACTATGTCCGCAGTCCCTGGTCATCTCCTGTACTATGTTCGCAGTCCCTGGTCATCTGTACTGTGTCCGCAGTCTCTGGTCATCTCCTGTAGTATGTCTGCAGTCTCTGGTCATCTCCTGTACTGTGTCCGCAGTCTCTGGTCATCTTCTTTACTGTGTCCGCAGTCTCTGGTCATCTCCTGTAGTATGTCTGCAGTCTCTGGTCATCTCCTGTACTGTGTCCGCAGTCTCTGGTCATCTCCTGTACTATGTCTGCAGTCTCTGGTCATCTCCTGTACTATGTCCGCAGTCTCTGGTCATCTCCTGTACTATGTCTGCAGTCTCTGGTCATCATCTCCTGTAGTATGTCTGCAGTCTCTGGTCATCTCCTGTACTGTGTCCGCAGTCTCTGGTCATCTCCTGTACTGTGTCCGCAGTCTCTGGTCATCTCCCTGTACTGTGTTCGCAGTCTCTGGTCATCTTCTGTACTATGTCTGCAGTCCATTGGTTCAGAATATTTTTTTCTCTTGTTTTTCGCCTCTAAAACCTAGGTGCGTCTTATGGTCAGGTGCGTCTTATGGAGCGAAAAATACAGTAGGTTACATTTGCAAAACTGAAATCTGATTGGCTGGCTAAAAAGGATAGTCAAAGCCTTTTGGCAGTCAACTCAGCTGTACTTAGCTGAACCTGCAGTATACACAGCTATCCACAGTGAAGGGGAAAATCTAATCAATGAAGTCATTCAGCTTCCAATATACATAATAGTTTATCAGCAATGAAAGCAGCCATGTTAGCTTTGCAAACAAATACAGATGAACTTGTCATACAACCACAACTTCCAAAGGGATGCTTAAAGGCTAAGTTTACCTTTCTGAGCATGTTCTATGTTACACCCATATTTAGGGTGTAACATGTTCAGCATCCATCCTCTCTCCCCCTGAATCTCCCTCTCTCTGTGACAGCGGGCGGGTGACCTTCTCCCTGCACCTGCTGTCATAAAATGAAAAAGCCCACACAGTTGTGTCATTCATTCACAGTGTTCTGTGAATGAATGAACTACAAATACCATCAGCAATTGCAGCGGCCGGCTTGCAGTCCACAATGAACTACGAGGGTGCTGGTGAGCGATCTTGTTGTTTATTGATCTTCCTGCTCTCAGTTAATTGCCTGCTTGTATGGGAGGTATGGGCAGACAGCTACCCTGAGAGTCTGCAGAAGCCTGACATTGCACCCACGATCTGTCGATTGTGGATGCAATGCTTTACAGACTCTTTAAAAAAAAATAAGTGCATTTATTAACCTGCAAAAAAAAGGATTTTTTTTTTTTTTTTTTCTGAGAGGTGAACTTATACTTTAATGTAATACCAAAAAAGATTTCACATGGCCTTTCTTTGTAGATAATATGCTAATCTTGGACATACGGGTGCTGCTAGTACTGATAGTATGCTAATCTTGGTCATATGGGTACTGCTAGTACTGATTTGCTTTAGAATCTGCACCTTCGGCAGTGGTCATCCTTTATTCCTAATTCATCACATGGTCAGTCATTGACATAGACAAAGCGTTTGGATTAGGCCGTGCAACACTTGTTGAGCTGGGTGCTTTTTCTAAGACAGTGATACATTAATTAGTGAAGAAAGGAAAAGGATGAAAGCTCCAGACCAGGGGCAGACTGACAACTAATGGCGCCGCCGGGCAATAGGGAATCATGGGGCCCCTATGTCCTTGCCCACGCTCAAAAAAGCCTATAAAAAAGGGTACCAGGGGCATTTCATGGGGCCCCCTACTGACCCCGGTCCCTCGGGCAGTGCCCGAGTGCTCAAATGGTCAGTCTACCCCTGCTTCAGACCCTGCATCTTCAAAAACAAATAAAGCCAGCTCCTATATTTCTATCTTGATAGAATCCCTGTAAGAATGGTCATACATGAGCCAACTCAGGAATCGCCTTTGACATCCATTCCTTGTACAGCTTCCCTAAAAATCATTATTATATACAGCGTGCTTGAAAAACATCTATATGTATGCCTGAGCCGATCCCTAATATTTTATGGAGAATAGGCTGTAACCACACACATGCTGAATTGAAACATGCTAAGTTCATGACTAGGCTGTAGTGGAGCTATGATGGTTCAGACGATGGTCAAATGTCTGAACGCACAATGTTTTATGCAAGACATTTTCTTTTCCACAGGCAGTTTAACTCTTGCACCATGTCGGTAAATAAAGAACTGGCATACGACTATAGCATTATATATAAAAGTAGGCTGACCTCCTCCTTCTTCTGCTCATCAGTCTTCTCCTGGAGATAGACAGAAGAGGGGGCATACTTCTTGCTTGGGGCTTCTTTAGGAGCCTGGCTGACTGGAGAGAGAAATCAAACTGTGAGCCCAGGCAGAGGTAGCATATTGTAGAAGGATGCTATGAAATCCAGAATACACAGGCTGGAATTAGTGAGATGTGTAAATTTGATGAGAAAAAGAATTTGCCACTTTAAAGGAATCAACAGAGGCGATCTGAGTTACATCACTGTGAAAAAGCATTTAAAGCAGAGATCCACTCAAAAGTGGAAGCTCCGCTTGTTTGCCTCCTCCCCTCTCCGCTGCCATATTTGGCACCTTTTGGGGGGGGAGCGAGTACCTGGTTTTGACAGATACCCGCTCCCACTTCTGGCTCAGTTCACCGCGGCGAAGGGAGCCGGACATTCAACCTCCTCCTTCCTCCCGAAGTCTCCCGAGAACCTTCACAGGTCTCAGAAGACTGCCAGACCAATCAGAATGCGCAGCATGACTCGCACATGCGCAGTGGGCACCCGGCTGTGAAGTTGCAAGCTGTCACAGCCTGGTGCCCACAGTTGTGATGCCAGCACCAAGGAGAGAAGAGGCAGAGAAGGGACAGCGCAGGTGAGCACATCACTGGACTCTGGGACAGGTGAATGTGTGTTTATTAAAAGTCAGCTGCTGATTTTTTAAAAACACAAAACTGACTGGAACTCTGCTTTAAGGTATAGGTAATCTCTGACAATGGACTTTGTTTGTTCCCTTTTGGACTATTAAATACACTGTGAAAGTGTCCTTTGTGTGGTGCACTCCTTAAAAAACCTGCACAAGTTACCTTTGTGAACCACAACCCTCCCCCCTTTCATCGTTAAGGAAATTAGAATAAATGGAGGAGGTGTTCTATAGTCCTAACGCACTTCCTGTACAAACAAATTGCAACTACCCCGCATAACAGGCCTTTGCAGCAAGGAGCACATGGAAGGGCAAAGCATGTGAAACAACAACAAATAAAAATCCCACCTCTCTTACCAGCCAGAAAACAAACCAAATTTTCCTGTCTAACAATTCGCGTTAAAACCAGGGGGGAATACATTTGCAAATATATGCCTAAATTGTAGGGCCACTTCATGACACCCCAGTGTACTGCAGTCCTAACAGGTATGCCTGGAGGGAGCCCACTCTCCGTAAAGGCACAGGGGCACACTGGACACCCAGCAAATAGCAAAATGGCAGTGAAGGTGTCCACTGTGCCCTCTCACCAATTATCCAACAGTACAAACTAATGGTAACTGCCCGTGAAGTAAATTGCAAGATCCTGTGGGTATGTTTGTTTTTTTTTGCTCTCAGGTGCTAAATCCAGACTCCTGGGTGCTAAATAAATACAAGAGTGAAGGATGTTTAAGTATATCCTGTTGGTGAGGAGGTTTTAAAATGAACCTGCTGCTTTGTTCTTAAAGAAGGAAGCACAGATTTGTTTTAAAGAAAACTTGTACTGAGAGAAACATATAAGCTGCAATTTTTACCTACTTAGGAAAAGCTAGTTGTCTGCCTGCGTCTGGCATCAGTACTCTGAGTTATGGAACTGAAACCGGAATATAGTAGGGTGGGTGAGAGTGAAGTCAAAACTTCTGATCTGCATTCTTCTTCTTGATCGGTATTCCAGCAAGTACTAAAGCCAATGGATTAGCATGACAGCCAGATAACTAGCTTTTTCAGAACAAAGTCAGCAGTGGCAACCTACAAATTTCTTGGGAGTACAGACACAAGGAATGTCATGAGGAAAACTCTGAAACTGCCATTTTCCTTCTATAAATACTAGTTTCCTGGCTCTCAGGCTCCTTTGTATATAAAACTTTGTTACTAATCCAGGACATCTATGCAGATACAGACTTCTGACTTTTCCGGGATTCTGATGATTCGAATACTTGTCCTGGGTCAGTAAATCAAAACGTATTGAGACCACAGGTAGCCAGAAAACGTGAGTGCTTAAAACCAGGTCCAGAAATAGTGCACACTTCTTTAACCAGTACAAGCCCCTCTGATCATTGTCTTCTTCCTTGAGATGTTTAGAATATCAAAAAGGTACAAGAGAATGACCAGCAATCTCTATTAAAGTGGTCTCCAAACTGCAGCTCGGGGGGCCGGATGTGGCCCTTTGCTTGCCTTTATCTGGCCCTTGGGGCACCATTCCACCAACTGTCACCAGTGATGGAGCACCATTCCCTCTACTGACACCATCAATGTGGCATTATACTTCTCATTGTCATCAACAATGGGACACTATTCTTCTCACTAATGTCAACAATGGGACACTATTCTTCTCACTAATATCAACAATGGGGCACTATTCCTCTGATTAAAACTGATGCCAGGGATTTTCTACTCTCATCGGCTACAGTCCGGCCCCACTAAAGTCTAAAGGACAGTAAACTGGCCCTTTGCTTAGAAACTTTGGAGACCCCTGCTCTATTACCTGGAGTCATGTCTGCAGGACACAGATTAACTGTACGCTGCTGCTTGTCTTTACCACTGAGCCACTCTGCTGCAGACAGTGCTGGTTCCCAGGTCACACGGGTAGGGGGGAACACATCATCCTGGAAGAACTCTTTCTATGGATAGAAGATAATGTCACCACTTGTACACTGCTCAATTCAGATATAGCTGTAGAAATTTAGATTTTAATCATTTCAGCTTTCAGAGTGTCAAACATTTAGGCGCAAATCACATCCTTCCCGAAATGCCATGTCAAATTTTTATCAATGCAGATAGACAACAAAAAAGACCATCTATTACTGATGTCCAATAGGCATAATTTCACACATTTAAAGGTACCTGAAAAAATCAGCAGTGTTGATATAGGGACACTGCAAAGAACTAAAATTGTTAAATACCTATTGGCTTGTCACTATAACCATCTACATCACTGGCAAACAGAAATATGTGAGAAGTAGGAGGAAGCAGGCTAGATTAGACACTATATATATAAAAAAAAAAAGAAAAGCTGAAGCTTTGCCTGATCAGAACCTGGTATTTGTGCGGAGTGAGGATATTGAAAGTTGCTGCAAATACATGTACTTGCACTTTATGCTCGTCATTGGCTTTTTTTTCTTCTCTTTTTTTAACTTAACAGTTTAAGTTGACCTTATCACCACAGGGTCACATTTACTCATAGCGCAACCTGTAAAAATACTTACCTTTTTGGCAGCCCACAGCATCTCCGCTTCCATTTGCTGCAAATATTTGACCATCGACCTTGAATCGAATGCTTGTTCCCCCATCATAAAGTCTGGATCCTACTGCCAGCTTGTACATCACTACAGGCCATACAAGCCAGCTGGAAAAACCACAGTGGCCAGCTGGGAAAGTAAGCATTCGATGGTCAAATACCTGCAGTGGCAGGGGACCCTTTTAGTAACTGTGTCCCCTCTAGGATTTAAGTGTACAATCCAAATGCACACGTTCCTGCATTAAAAATGACTGTGTGTTCAAGTGGGTGCTGCAGCGACAGTCGGCTGGAACTGAACAAAATCAGCAAAAGGGAGAATGTCACCAGCACCGAGGATCACCAATATGGGTCCAAAAATGTTAATGAATGATCACATAGTTACAGCAAGGTAACATTTTGGAGTCTCGCAGGACCTCTTCATCAGGCATGTGACCTGATGAAAGGGTCCTGCGAGATTCCAAAACGTTGTCTTGCTGTAACTATGTGATCATTCATTAAAACATTTGGATCCACATTGGAGATCCTCGGTGTGCTAGCAACATTCTCCCCCTCTAGGATTCAGTCTAACAAATTAACTAGATTAAAGCTCACCATACACAAGTAGATTTTCATACAAACATTTGTACGGACATTCTAAGAACATCTGCTAATTTGACACATCTCATTTGAAAGTACTTCAAACTTTCAAAATTTAATATTGGAACAGATGGACTTTACAGAATAAAAACCACAAATACTCTTAAAAAGTAATTCAATAAAAAATTTTCATTCTGCTGCTTCGAATTTTTTTTGTCACTGTGGTTAAAAACAAATGCTGATTTGACCGCACTTACGATTTTAAAATCAAATGTTTTTAAAAGGAAAAATTAAATTCTAATATATGGACAACTTAAGATTGAGTAAGATTGATCTACTTCCCAAAAGCTTGCCGCTGATAATTTGAAGTGGAGTTTTAACTGTGTAACCTGCCTATACTGTGACAGCTATATCTTTCAGATGTACCTGCTGACAGTGTCACTTGTGTCTATGCACACACTATCCTTCTGTGGGTTTGGTGTATGTCCACTTTCCCGTCATTCCAATCTGCTGTGTCAGAGAGCCATCTTAGCTCTCTGAATTCCCAGATCATAAGAGAGATGGATATATGTAGATATGACAAAGGTCTCAATGGTGGTGCCCTTTTACATCCAACTGAAAAAGTTTGAGAAACACCAATCTAAGTGATTCTCACCTTAACACGTGGAACACAGAAAGCTACAGGTTCAAGTGAGCTAGTGCAAAGACGCAAAGCATGCAGAACCTCCACTTCCCGCACAGCACAGTCTGTTTTCCGCAAATACTGTAGACCCTGGAATACAAAATACAATATCAGAGTGCACTGACATGTACATTTAACCTGCTTCAGCTGTTTTTGCATTCCTACAGAATCATAAGGAGAGAGAAGGACTTCTAACATGAAAAAAACACATTGACACCGGCCCAAATAGTTACTCCAGAGTGAAAAAGACATTAAAACTCTGCATTAAAGTTTATTCTATTAGATTGTAAGCTCTTATGAGCAAGAGGAAAAAGGGTCAGCCGCACACCCATAGGACACACAAAACATCATGAATACAGGACCTGTTAACGCAGTGGTTTTCAACCTCCCTAATGCCGCGACCCTTTAATACAGTTCCTCATGTTGTGGTGACCCCCAACCATAAAATTAGTTTCGTTGCTACTTCATAACTGTAATTTTGCAGTGAGAGGAGTAGTGCCACATCATTGGTGTCAGTGAGAGGAGTAGTGCCACATCATTGGTATCAGTGGTATCAGTGGGAGGAATAGTGTCCCATCATTAGTATCAGTGGGAGGAACAGTGTCCCATCATTGGTATCAGTGGGAGGAATAGTGTCCCATCATTGGTATCAGTGGGAGGAATAGTGCCACATTGTTGGTGTCAGTGGGAGGAATAGTGCCCCATCATTGGTGTCAGTGTGGGAGGAATAGTGCCCCATCATTGGTGTCAGTGGGGAGGGGGAATAGTGCCCCATCATTGATAATAGTGTGGGGGGGAATTGTGCCCCATCATTGGTGTCAGTGGGGAGGAATAGTGCCCCATCGATGGTGTCAGTGGGGGGAGGAATAGTGCCCCATTGTTGGTGTCAGTGGGGGGAGGAATAGTTCCCCATCGTTGGTGTCAGTGGGGGGGGAGGAAATAGTGCCCCATCATTGGTGTCAGTGGGAGGAATAGTGCCCCATCATTGGTATTAGTGACACCAATGATGGGGCACTATTCCTCCTACTGACACCAATGATACTTAACTTGCTGACTCCTGCTCCAGCCTGGTCTCGGAGAAGGAAGACAGCTGACAGGTAAGTGTCTGTAGTGTGCAGATGGTGCTGCTGCAGCCAGGTATGCTGACTGTAGATGGGAGAGGGAGGCTCTCCCATCTACAGTCAGCATACCTGGCTGCAGCAGCACCATCTGCACGCTACAGATACTTATCTGCCAGCTGTCTTCCTTCTCTGGCCGCTCCCTCGCTCGATCTTCTGTGATCTTCGCGCTGCTGCTCGGCTCCACCTCTCCAAGCTCCACCTCCTCGCCGGTGATTGGCCGCCTGTGTGCCTCTCTCTCCTGAGCTACAGTTCCGGCGGCCAATCACTGGCGAGAGGGCGGAGCTGTTGAGTGATCCCGGGGATGTGGCCAGATGACAGGGGCGGCATGTCATCCCGCGCACACATCGCGGCCCAGGGAAATGTGGACGTATATGCATGTGGGCGGACCTGCCTGGAGACTGATAGCGGAGCGGTGTCTCGGTTCCTAAGACCATTGGAAATATGTGTTTTCTGATGGTCTTAGGAGACCCCTGTGAAAGGGTTGTTCGACCCCCAAAGGGGTCGCGACCCACAGGTTGAGAACCGCTGTGTTAACGCGTTTCACACGATCTCGTACTTAAGCACGAGATCGTGTGAAACGCGTTAACAGATCCTTTATTCATGTCCTGGTGTTTTGTGTGTCCTATGGATCAATAAATATACACTGTATGCATCAATCCTCCGGTGTGCGGCTGACCCTTCTTCCTATTGCATTGTGTGGGGTGGCGAGCCAGAGCCTGCACCTGTTGTGGATTGATCTGGATTGTTTGCCTCTGTTCTTTGGATTCTTATGCAGGGCCCTCTTAATCCTCTTGTTTTGTTTGTATTGTAAACTGTATTGTCTCCCTTTATATTGTAAAGTGCTGCACAAACTGTTGGCACTATATAAATCCTGTATAATAATAATAATTTAAAGCCAAAACTAATTTTTTTTTAGGTTTTGAAGGGTTAAGGAGTCCTTGTGACCACTGAAATTGTTAATAAAGGGATAATCTTCTAATGAGGACATTTTCTCTCATCAAAAAACCTGAAAGAGGATTTCCTGTACTTTGGAGAGATTTCACTTCTGGGAGATGAGGGAAATCTTCCCAATGGGGCATAGATAGCCAATAAAAATAACCTGAAGGTTTTTCAACCCTTCCCCGCTCTATACATAACTAGTTATACTTTAAAGTTTGGGTTGTTTCTGCCATGTAATTGTACATAAAAAAGCCTATAATGAAAACATTGGTGGTCTCACCTTGTGTGGGTCACCGGTCACAAAGTTGTTACATTCCAGGAAGTAAGGGCTTTCTGCCATCACCTCATACATGAATGATCTGGTGTCACCCTAGAAAGAAAAAAAAAATGACAGTACAATCAGTCAGAGGCTTTTGCTACTCCCTGACATCCATGGCACATGACCTGGGCCTTCTATTGAGTGTCCTTTGTTGTAACTGTGCTGCCATTCCAAGTATACTTTAATCTTTGTTTAACTTTGATTGTTTTTTTTTTAATATAATATTTAGTACATATATTCTCACACCTTACCAGTAACTACATTTTGTCCCACAGTTTCTATAATTTTTTTGTGTCGATCACTTTGGGGGTATATTTATAAAAATAATTTTCAGAGCTTTTAGCCCCTATATTCGTTCTGCACAAATGTTATTTTCTCTTCAGGTCGAAAGTTATTCTTTCATATACAGTGGAGTGAATCAGGAAAATACTGCATTATGGCAGCAGATGGAGCTGACGAGCATAGGAAATAACTACAGAGGTGTGTGAAAAATTTGCATAACTATTCTTCCATCAAAACTGAAAGCAAATTCATTCTGTGCAAATGGGGCAAAATCAAATGTTCGGAGGCTATATTCTCTGCAGATTGAACGTTATTCATTGAAAAAAAAAACCGTCTGAATGGGAAAAATTGCATTATGGCCACTAGATGGTACTAAGTATGCTCATTATGCAGAAAAAGCCCCATTCACATTTTTCTTTCAATAAATAACATGAATGATGGTGATACCACAAACTGTTTGCGAAGTCTGCTAATAGCTCACAGCAGATTTATCCATCTGCGCTGTTTAACCGCTTCCATACCGGGCACTTTTACCGCCTTCCTGCCCAGGCCAATTTTCAGGTTTCAGCACTCTCACACTTGAATGACAATTGCGCGGTCATACAACATTGTACCCAAACTAAAATTTTATAATTTTCTTCACACAGCTAGAGCTTTCTTTTGGTGGTATTTAATCACCGCTGGGGTTTTTATTTTTTGCTAAATTAACAAAAAAAGACCAAAAAGTTTGAAAAAAAAATACGTTTTTCTTTGTTTCTGATATAAAAGTTTGCAAATAAATAATTGTTCTTCATAAATTTAGGCCAAAATGTCTTTGGTGAAAATAACCCAAATTAGTATTTATTATTTAGTTTGTAGGAAAGTTATAGAGTTCACAAACTATGGTATAGATCTGAATATTGATCAATCCTGAAGTACTGACGGCCAATCTAATTTCTTGAGGTCCAAAAATGTCAGAACAGTACAGATATCCCCCAAATGACCCCTTTTTGCAGAGTAGACAGTCCGACGTATTTCATAAGAGGCATGGTGAGTTTTTTTAAGTTGTAATTTTTTTGTCATAATTTTTTGGAAATGAATAAATAAAATGGTTTTCACAATTTTTTTTTACATACTGTCACCAGTACAGTACAGAATCATCATATAACTGGCATGGCGGTGATCAGGGACACTGACTGGTGACAGTACAAAAAAAAAAAAAATTGATAATTTTTTTTTATTATATTTTTTTCTTTTTTAAGATTTTTTTTCATAGTTCACTATGACCAAAGTAGTATAATGTTACCATAGTAACATTGTACTACTTTGGGGAAGTGATCTATATATATTTTTTTTTTTTACCCAATTTGCTTATAGCAAAGAATTACTTTGCTATAAGGAAGCATTTACCTGAATGAAATTGGTTCATTCAGGATTTTTTTTTCTTTCTTAACTGTGATTTGGCCACAGCTAATCACATGACACAGCTGGGTTGTGATTGGCCCAGCTTGTGCTTGTGATTGCTATGACCATTCACAGCTAGCCACACTTGTATACAATGGATGGCATGATAGGAAGCCATCCATTGTATACAACTGTCATGTGACCTGCTGCGATTGGTCACAGCAGGTCACATGGTGCTGGCAACGGGACCGGTACACAGATCTGTATCCCATAGTTTGTGAACCTGCTGTGATTGGTCACAGCGGTCACATGGTACTGGCAACGGGACCGGTACACAGATCTGTCATCGGCCGTGTCCGTGGTACACGGCCGGTGACAGATCGCGCCGGAGGGACGAGGGTTTTTGCTGGCCGCCATTCGGCCATAGGCCGGGCGGGAAGCGGTTAATGTAGATGGAGGAATTGGTTCGTTTTTTTTCACAGGCTGAACAAAGGAAATCTATATATGTATGGCCAATATAAAGCCTATGTCACACTGGGATATTGTAGCAGTGATTGTTGGCTTCAGTAGCTCCTCATGTTATCCAATGCAGCTGCTGATTATCATGAAACACAAGGGATTTGTAGCTGACTAGGTGAGACCTGTAGTCAGCTATAGCAGCAAATCTGTAGCCAGCTACAAATCACCAGAGAAAATAGGCAGAGATATTTGTAGCTCGTACAGATCTCTGCTACAAAGTTACTAGTGTGATATGGCCCTAAGAAAACACACATAGAATATGCCTCTTTAGACGCAAGCTACAACATTTTTATTATACGGGAATGCCCGGCAAACAAAACACGTGATGATTATTTAGTCATGCATGCTATCTCCTTTCCAACCTATGTGCCACTTAGCACCTTGTGTTCCTTCTGTTGTACCTCCACCCATACTTGTGACCCCGGAATGCTTACCTTGCCAGCGAGCAGCAGGAGGCCGGTGTCCTGGTCATAATGCGGGATAAGTGTGGAAGGTGACACATCCAGACTGATGGTGGTGATAGGACCCTGTGACAGGTTTTCTGCATTATGCAGAGTCAGCTGGCGTTCACTTCGGCTGCAAAATAAAAAGTAATCAAAGAGAATCATAAGATGCCTCACTGCACATCCCAGTATATACTGAAAAGGACATTTAGGAAAACCTCTTACCTGTCAAACCCTGACACGAGGAGATATTTACCATCACATACCCAGAGGATTCGTGCCCCTCGGGCACCTTCTGGCCCAGCACCCTCCTGTTGAAATAATCAGAGCTCCATCACATACAAAGCTCTTCCCCACTATATAATCCAATGGCATCATATAGAGCATGTGTCCCTGAACTTTTAAGCAAGAGGCCAGTTTACTCTCCTTCAGTTTTTAGAGGGGCCAGATTGTGATCAGTGAGAGTAAACGATGTCTCAGGCTTGGTAGTCAGTGGAAGTGAAAAAAAAATACGCCTGTAGTCAGTAGGAGGAAGAATAGTACACCTCATCACCAGTGTTAGTGAGAGGAATAGCGTCAATCAATGGTATCAGTGCGTGGAAGAATGCACAACTTTGGAATCAGTAGGAGGAAGAGGGGATGATTTTCCAAAACAGGAGAGCACAAAATCTGGTGCAGCTGTGCATGGTAGCCAATCAGCTTCTAACATCAGCGTGTTCAATTAAGCTTTGAAAAAAATAAAAATCTGGAAGCCGATTGGCTACCATGCACAGCTACACAAGCTTTTGCACTCTGCAGTATTAGTAAATCAACCCATAGGGGTTGATTTACTAAAACTGGAGAGTGCAAAATCTGGTGCAGCTGTGCATAGTAGCCAATCAGCTTCTAACTTCTGCTTGTTCAACAAAGCTTTGACAATAAAACCAGAAAGGTGATTGGCTACCATGCAGAGCTACACCAAATTTTGCACTCTCCAGTTTTAGTAAATCAACCCCATAGTGTTCCATCATTTATAACAATGGAAATAATAGTGCCAAATTGTTGGTGTCAGTCGGGTGCCAGGAATTAAGCCCCACTATTGGTGTAGTGGAAGGAATTATGCGTCATTTTTGGGGGTTGATTTACTAAAAATGGAGAGTACAAAATCTGGTGCAGCTCTGCATAGAAACCAATCAGCTTCCACGTTTTTTTTTTTATTAATTCAACAAGCTGAAATTAGAAGCTGATTGGCTACCCTGCACAGTTGCACCAGAGTTTGCACTCTCCAGTTTTAGTAAATCTCCCCTTGGTGTCAGTGGGCAGAATAGTGCCCCAAGGGCTGGATAAAGGGCCACATCCAGCCCACATTTTGGAGACCCCTAATATAGAGGAACAGGAGAACAGGGAAGCATTGTGTTAACATCAGTCGGAATTACCTGCTTTGGAGAGTTGGAAACCCGAGGATCGTATATACGAATACGCTGATCTTTGCAGCAAGTAGCTAAATATTTGCCATCTGGACTCCAGGCAAGGGAGAAGATCTGTGAGGAAAAGAAAAGTTTGTTAACTCAGTAATTCTTTCTGGGCATAAATGGACAGATATTCCTCTAAAAGCAAAGCTTGTAAGGCGTTTGATAGTTTGACCTGGGAATACCTATTTAACAGCACCTTTGGATTTGGCTCCACCTTTATTTCTCTATTAAAAACTTTATAATCCTTTGGCTCAGATTTGCATACGAGGGTATAAATCATCTCCTCTTTCTATCAGACATGGTTGTCCACTCCCCCCCCCCCTACTTTTCGTGCTGGTAATTGAACCCCTCGCTATCCATTCTCACTCTGGTATTACGGGTATTCAATGTGGCTGATAGAAGCACAAGTGTGCCCTGTTTGCAGATGATGTCCTTATGTATATCTCACATCCCCAGGTGTCCGTACCCAAATCTGCACACTTTGCTACATCAATTTTCTCAAGCTTCGGGACTCTCTTTATACTCTTCTAAAACAGCTGCTCTCAACATTACTTTATCCTCTTCAGAGGTACAGACTCTTAGAGACAATTACAACTTTCAATGGGCTACCCGCTCCCTTCCCTATCTGGGGGTTCATCTTACAACCTCCATTGCAACTCTTTGTGTGAATTATCCCCCACTCTTTAAACGGCTCAAAGGAGATCTTCGTCATTGGGTGGACTTCCCTCTATCTTGGTTCGGTAGAATTAACTCCATTAAAATGACTTTCCTACCTAGACTACTTTACATTTTTAGGACATTACGAATTGCAGTCCCCAGAGGAGAACTATTACGATTACAATCTAAAGTTCTTCATTTTGTGTGGGGTAATAAATGCCCCCCGGATAAATAAATCAACACTATACTCTCAGAAAATACATGGTGGCTTAGGACTTTCCAGCCTCCTGACTTATTTCCCCTTCAATTGATATCTACTTATGATATTTTGCTCACCCCAGCTGCTTCTCCATTAGCATACTCACTTAAACCCCATTGGGAAGAGGGCACTGGTATAATATGAGGAGGAAGACTGGAGTGAAATATAAGAGGCAAGTAAACGAGTATCCCCTAAGGTATCGGATCGCCTCACACAGTTATATATTATTCATAGGTCATATCTCACCCCAATACCCTTAGCTAAATTTTGCCCGTCTTGTAGCTCTTTGTGCCCTAATGCCTATTGGCCCAGGCACATTCAGTTACTTAATCTGCACTGTCCCCGAATCCAGGGCTTTTGGAAACAAATTGTTAAATTCCTCCATGACCACATGGGTTCTCCACTGCGACTAGATCCTAAGCAATGCCAGTTGGGCTTCTTCCTGGAATCTGACACGGACAAACATTCTATAACCTTTTTAAATGAAACCTACGATTACAATCTGAAGTTCTTCATTTTGTGTGGGGTAATAAATTCCCCTGGATAAATAAATCAACACTATACTCTCAGAAAACACATGGTGGCTTAGGACTTTGCAGCCTCCTGACTTATTTCCAAGCGGCCCACATATCACAGCTCTCTTACACTACAGCCAAAGGCCATAAACCCCAATGGGTTATTAGTGAAGCCCTGTCTTGTTATCCTTATGCCATTGGCTCTCTGATGTGGCTTCCCAATCGATTACGTCCTCCAATTTTATGCCATACATTATCTTACTCCTTAGCCGTCTGGAACAGACTGTGCATCCATAAATCTATATCTTGTCTTCGTACCCCTTTAGCCTCTAACTTCTGTAACCCTGAATTCATACCTGGGCTTACACCGCCCATATTTCAGTGGTGGATTAATAAGGGCTTTCTCCGTATAGGGAATTATTTAGATGGGGATCGACTGTACTCTCTACAACATTTTCGGGATAACCACCAGCTCCCATCCAGTGAGACCTTTCGATATAACCAAATTGTGTCCTTTAAACAAACAATCTTAAATTGTTGAAGGAATCCCTAACGCTCACTTCCTTTGAATTATCCTTCAAGCTACTGGTGCACTGAAAGGTCGAACATCCACTATATATACTGTCCCTTACTAATCCAAAAACCATCTCCATTATGTGGTTCTTTGGGAATCGGGACTTAATATCTCCCAAGAACTAACTGATTGGCAGGACACTGCTTACTTCCAAAATTGCTATCAATACCACACTAATAGAATCTAACTATAAAACACTTCTACGATGGTACTTGGTGCCCACACGCCTTACAAAAATACACCCTACCGCACTGCCTTCCTGTTTTCGGCGCTGTGGGCAGGAGGGAACCATGTGCCACATTTGGTGGCAATACCCTGTGGTGACTAGATTTTGGATTCGAATGTCTAACTTTATTTACTCAGTGACAGGAGTGAATATTCGTAGATACCCAGAGATAGCCCTTTTTCAAAAGTTACCTTCAGGAATCCCCAAAAAAAATGACCAAATTGATCCTTTACATGACCCTGGCTGCAAGAATCATTACTGCTAAACATCGGAAACGAACGGTGAGACCACTTGACTATGTTGAAAATAAAGTGAATTGAATCATGGTTAATTACAAACTCACCTGCATTCTCAATAACAATACATCAAAATTTTACAGAACTTGGGATCCATGGATTCAATACCTCTTCGTTCCTTAGGGGGACCATGACTGGCCCTCTTTTACTGCACTTTATCTTTTATTCTTTTTTTTTTCTCATTTTCTTTCTCATTCTTCCTTCATACTTTTTGTTACCTTTTGATATATCTGACTTTTGTACTTGACTACTGTTTGGTCATGCTCATAGAATTCTGTCCATTTTCACAGTTTATCATCTTTATCTGTAGATTACACCAGAGGGACTTCCTGGTCCCATATATTTAAGCAATGTTCAATTCCTCAGTCTCTTTGTACAATGCCAATGTCACCTATGTTCATACATGAATATTGTCCTAGAAGTTCAATATCTCTCATCTGTTGGTACTGTCAGTCTGTACGTTTGATATTTTCAATAAAAAGATTGAAATATAAAAGCAAAGCTTGTGTAGACAACTGACCATCATCACAGAGGTTGACAGAGCAAAAGGCTCAGTCATGATCTTCACACACTTGCTGTACTTTAATCTGTTCCTCAATTCCATCACAGAATCGGGTAAACCCACTGGGAGATTTTCCAGCAGGATGGAAAATCTTCCCATCTGATAACAAGCACCTCTGACCACAGGAATCACTCACTATCGCCACATATGTGGTTAAGAACTGTCCAATTGGAAGCTATACTCAAAATCAGGAACATACTTTGTAATTATTGGCCAGATCATGGACTTTCATAAATCTTATGTAGAATCCAAGACATGTATCACCAAGGGGGATAAATCATTAGCCATAAAAGGCTTTTCTCATAGGTGGTAGAAGAAAAGAATCTACTTTTCTCTACAATTATTGTGTCACTTTTTGTTTCCCCATCAGTAGTACAAACACAGTTACCTTATGTAAGTTAATCATGTACAAAATACTGCAAAAAAACCATAAACACACATACGGTCCATTAACACCGCAAATGTGTGAGATAAACAGTTTTGTGAACAGAAAAAAAATGAAAAAATATTGTCAATAAATAAGCAAGCAATAAATGGTTCTGAATATACCGCACGTGTTGGTTCTTTGTGAGCCGACGCTGTCTGATAATCTCACCTGATCTTTATGGCCTTCTAGAGTCAGCACATTTCTTCCGGCCTGCAGGTTCCATACACGCACTGTCATGTCATAAGAAGAGGAGACAAGGATATCCGAGGCACAGGGGTGGAATCGCACCGTATAGATCCGCTCATTGTGGCCTGTGGGATAAGGTGGTAAAGTCATTTATATTTCATTGGTGATGGTACTGTAGTACTGTGGCTTATGGAGGTCTGATATACATTTAACCAGATCAACATCCCTCTCCTTCCTGTTAGAATTCATATTTATGGCTCACTGTAGTTTCACAGTCTAAGCACCTCTGTATTGAGTGTTCTTGGGAAAAGTGTACACCAAGTTTACCATGAAGAGACTTGCTTACAATGGAGAAAGTATACATCGATAATTATCGACCGGTCTGCAAACACTGGCTGCACCTAACATGATAAACATACACTAGAGGGTCAAAGGTTTGTGGATACCAGACCATCACACCTATATGAGCTGGTTGGACCTCCCATTCCTAAACCATGGGCTATAATGTAGAGTTGGCTATTACAGCCTCCACTCTGAGAAGGCTTTTCATCAGATTTTGGAGTGCGTCTATGGGCATTTGTTTCCCTTCAGGCAAAAAAGCATTTGTGAGGTCAGAAACAGATATTGGACCAGAAGACCTGGTTCGAAATTGGCATTCCAATTCATCCCAAAAGCGTTCAGTAGGGCTGAGGTCAAGGCTCTGTGCAGGTCACTGTCTTCACAGAAAATTCATCAAACCATGTCTTTATGGATCTAGATTTGTACACAATGGAATGGTCATGCTGGAAGAGAAAATGGCCTTCTTCAGTTCCCCAAACTGTTGCCACGAGGTTGGAAGCTCACATTTTTTTTTTAAATGTCTTTATCTGCGAGTCACTAGAGGTGATTTATGGCAATGAACCCCATAAATTGATATCTACTTTTTATGATATTTTGCTCACCCCAGCTGCTTCTCCATTAGCATACTCACTTAAACCCCATTGGGAAGAGGGCACTGGTATAATTGAGGATGAGGACTGGAGTGAAATATTAGAGGCAAGTAAACGAGTATCCCCTAAGGTATCGGATCGCCTCACACAATGATATATTATTCATAGGTCATATCTCACCCCAATACGCTTAGCTAAATTTTGCCCGTCTTGTAGCTCTTTGTGCCCTAATGCCTATTGGCCCAGGCACATTCAGTCACTTAATCTGCACTGTCCCCGAATCCAGGGCTTTAGGAAACAAATTGTTAAATTCCTCCATGACCACATGGGTTCTCCACTGCGACTAGATCCTAAGCAATGCCAATTGGGCTTCTTTCTGGAGTCTGACACGGAGAAACATTCTATAACCTTTTTAAATGAAACATACGATTACAATCTGAAGTTCTTCATTTTGTGTGGGGGGTAATAAATGAACGGATAAATAAATCAACACTATACTCTCAGAAAACACATGGTGGCTTAGGACTTTCCAGCCTCCTGACTTATTTCCAAGCGGCCCACATATCACAGCTCTCTTACACTACAGCCAAAGGCCATAAACCCCAATGAGTTATTAGAGTTATTAGTGAAGCCCTGTCTTGTCATCCTTATGCCAATGGCTCTCTGATGTGGCTTCCCAATCGATTACGTCCTCCAATTTTATGCCATACATTATCTTACTCCTTAGCTGTCTGGAACAGGCTGCGCATCCATAAATCTCTATCTTGTCTTCGTACCCCTTTAGCCTCTAACTTCTGTAACCCTGAATGCAGACCATGCCACTCTCCTCATTACAATTCTGCAGGTACAGCAGCTGACTGATAATTAAAAAAACACTCCCATACGGATTCACTCTGCAAATGGACACAGACGAACATCTACTTCTTCAGAATGACAAATGTTAGGAATCTGCAAAAAAGTTTGTTAAAACCTTTGCAATGTACACAGATCACCCAGCAGAGACAAAAGTGGAGTTACTCTTTAACAGTATCCCTTACTGGAAAGACCTGAGTGCAATCATTTGGGGGGGGGGGGGTTTCCATTATTTCTAGCTATACAGTATTTTTCAGGTGCAATCAAGGTTTAAATAGCCATCACCAAAGTGCTTCTTTAAGGCCTCATTCAAACTAGCTTTGCTTTCTAAAGTGCAATCTGTATTTGGACTGCTTTTTAGAAAGCAATTGAAAGCAGGGAGGAGGCGTTGTATCTCTTCCTCATAGTCTGCTTGTTGTGTCGCAACCGCATGCATTGCACGTGGTTGCAGTGTGATTGTAGAGTGCACTATTCACTTGAATGGGCGGCATTCAGCGGACACTATGCCTGGCACTGCATGGCTATGCCTCTGCAGCTAAAGGGGGTGTTAAAAGCGTGGCTCAACCACAGTGTTTTACAACCGCTCAGTGTGAACGAGTCCTAAAAGGTCAGTCCACTGATATTTCTCTTTTTATGTATATATAACCACATGTCAGTTTCTTATACCTCTTGTTGAACTCTCTTGGTGAGATCTACAAGGTGAGTTTTCTGGGTCTGCACACCAAGTGGCAATTATGAGGAGCGCGACCACTCCCCTTGTTGGATATTTTAATCTGTGTCATATTATGGAGAATATAAGAGGATCTGATACACACAATGGTGGATGAAATATAAACACTAAAGGGGGTGTTAAAAGCGTGGCTCAACCACAGTGTTTTACAGCTCCTCAACCGCTAGTGTGAACGAGTCCTAAAAGGTCAGTCCACTGATATTTCTCTTTTTAGTATATATACCACATGTCAGTTTCTTATACCTCTTGTGAACTCTCTTGGTGAGATCTACGAGTTGAGTTCCTGGGTCTGCACACCAAGTTTGGCAATTATGAGGAGCGCCCACTCCCCTTGTTGGATATTTTAATCTGTGTCATATTATGGAGAATATAAGAGGATCTGATACACACAATGGTGGATGAAAACACCAAAACATTTTCTGGGAATTACATCATGGAGATAGAGGATCCAGGGTTGAGGCCACCAGACCTTACATACAGTATAACTAAATTATCCTTTATGGGTGAAGTGGCCCTTTAATATTTGCATTCATCATCAAAAGCCACACTGGACCGTATGAGCTTTCAATCTTCAAGGTCACCAAGTTATTTTGAAAGAATCCCACAGGAGGTGCACAGTTTTCGCATATATTTTATGTTGCTACCAGTCTATAGGAAATAATGTATATCATTTTGAATTACTACTTTTTCACGAGATGGGTCTGCAGCATTGGTCACATATATCTGCTGTGACCAAGTTAAGGTTAAACTGCATTTCTCCTGAAAATAATCCAACTTTTGTATCCAGAACAAAGGTGTGTAAATACCTATGTGGGGTCACTCATTCCATAGGGTAACCAGTCTGCTCATGCAGGTCCCAGGGCATTCCTTTGTGTATCTTCCAGCTTGTATTACCAATTCCTGTGCTCCTATATCTCATTCTATGTATGACATCTCGCTGTTCTGGATATGCACAGTGTATGACTGGGACTGGCTGTATGGTGTGTGTAGTTTTCATCATTGCTATGTAATGCATTTCTTACCAATAAGAACTGAGTGAGGGTCACTGAAGGTCTCCTTAAGTCCACCCTGTGGAATTATCCAAACTTTAATCCTTCCGTCCTCTCCACCTGAAATTTGATTCATAAGATGATTATGTAAACAAATTCATACTATGTAGGAAGATGGACAATGGGCATCTTCAGATATGGTAGTTGCATGTGTTTATTTTCTTCATTTTATGCCATTTTTTCCTTCCTTTTCACCTGGTGATCCTACCTGCAACATTCTTCATGTCCTAGGGTGGCAATGCTCACAAACTGTACTGTATCTAAGCAGCAGCAATGTTGTCACCCTAGGGCAGGTAGTGGTTTAGGAATACAGAACACCTCCACTCCTCCATAACCTAGAAAAAGAGGTGTTCTGTAGTGCACAGACCTAAAAACAATAATGAATGTCTATAGAAAAACAACATAAAAAGTTAAAGGATAAGTTCACCTTTGGGAACACGTTATATGTTTTTTTAGGGTGGAACATGTAACATGTTCCCGCAACCTCTCCCCGATCCTTCCCTCACTGTGACAGCGGGCTGGAGATCTTCTCCCCGCACCTGCTGTCACAATTTGAAAAGAACCTGGCTGTGCGGGACACCACCCACATTGCGTCGTCATTCAATCACAGAGATCTGTGAATGAATGAATTACAAGTACCGACATTCTTTCCATCTGACGGCTTGTAGTTCTCAATGAACTACCAGTGCGCTAGTAAGCACTCTAGTTCTCCATTGAGTCTTCCTATTATTCTGTAAATGCCTGCCCGTATGAAGTGCGAGCAGGCAGATACACGGACAGTCTGTAGGAGCCAGAGATTGCACCTGAAATCTGCTGATCGAGGGCGCAATGCTTGGCAGGCTTCTAAAAAATATAATAATAAATGCACATTTTTTTGCCTGCAAAAAAATTAGCATTTTTTTTTTTTTTAGAAACGTGAACTTAGCCTTTAATCACTTGCCCTCCAGAGGATTTACCCCCCTTCCTGATCAAGCGATACGGTGCTGCGTTACTTTAACTGACAATTGCGCTGTCATGCAACCCTGCACCCAAATGAAATTTATGTCCTTTTTTCTCCACAAATTGAGTTTTCTTTTGGTGGTATTTGATCGCCTCTGCGTTTTTAGTTTTTTGTGCTAGAGACAAAAAAAAGTTTACAATTTTGAGAACAAAAACAATATTTTTGACTTTTTGCTATTAAACATGTCCAGTAAAAAAAAAATTTAAAAATCAAATTTTGTCATAAATTTAGGACAAAATGCATTCTGCTACATGTCTTTGCTAAAAAAAAATCCCAATACGTGTAAATTAATTGGTTTACGTGAAAGTTATAGCGTCTACAAATGGCAGTATATATACACTGTTTTTTATACTAGTAATGGCGGCGATCAGCGACTTATAGCGGAACTGCGGCAGACATCCTGACACTGGGGGGAACTGACTGACACCAATACAATGATCAGTGCTAATAAAAAGTACTGACACTGTACTAATGGCACTGCGCAGGAAGGGGTTAACATCTGGGGCGATCAGTGTTGTGTTGTTTTACTGTGTGCTGTGTGTGTGAAATTACTGTGTAAGCACTTGGTTTGTATATACAAAGCAGTGTGCTGGAGCTGACAGGGGAAAGATCTGTACTGTTTACATACAAACCTCCCCCCCCCCTCGTCATTTTTTGACAGCAGAGCGGCTGTGCGGCTCTTCGCCCACACGGCTTCATCATTCATTCAGAGTTCTGTGGATGAACTACAAGTCCAGACACCTGTAAAGTATCCTCAGTGAACTACCATGGAGCTGTGGTAGTTCATTAAATCTTCCTGTCAGTGTAAAACTGTCTACCCATACAAGGTACGAGCACACAGATTATACTGACAGTCTGCAGTAGACCTGTATGGAACCAGTGATCTGCTGATCAATGATACAATGCTCTACAAGCTCCAGTAAAAAAAAAATAGTACTGTAAATGCACATTTTTTTAACCTGCAAAAAATTTGGAATTTTTTTTTTTTTTTTTTTAAGTGAACTTATCCCTTATTTCCCAATCTGCAACATGAGAGGGTGACATAGCTTTCAATGTACCTGTGACCAGTCGCTGAGGATTGAAAGGGTCCCATGTAAGGTCTGTGACAGGCACTGTGTTCTCAATAGTTGGCAGGGAGTCTGGTAAACGTCCTGGCTGTGACAGCTGTGGGTAAAACATGTACACAATCAACCATAAGTTTTAATGAGGTTTCTTTGATCAAAAAGTATAACAGAATCCAGAATCCAAAAACTGTAGCTGCTGACTTTTAAAAAATAGCCACTCACCTGTCCCACGATCCCACGTTGCCCCCGCCGCAGCTCGTTTCACTGGCCATCCTGTATTCCAGGCGCCGGCATCTTCAGTGTGGGCACCCGGCTGTGACAGCTTGCGGCTTCACAGCCGAGTGCCCAATGCGCATGCACGAGGAGCGCTGTGCTTCCTGAATGGCCCCGTCGTCTTCTGGGACCTGTCATGTGCCCCACAAGACTTCAGGGAGGGAGGGTAGGAGGACAACTTCCGTGTCCGATCGCCTAGGACAGTGGTCGGCAAGCCACGGCTCGCGAGCCACATGCGGCTCTTTACAAACTTTAATGCGGCTCTTCTGTGTGCCGGGCGCCCGCTCCCCTCCCTCCTCTCGGGCGGCCGCCCCAAAAGTCAGGACTCTGCAGCTAGCCCAGCAATGGGCAAACTACGGAGCGTGGCAAACATTGGCTGTCAGGATGTAGGCGGGGCAGCGTGACAAACTCCTCTCCTCTCACAGTCCGCCCTGAAGACCGGAACGGCGCGGGAACACGGCGAGAGGAACGCGCGGAGCAAAGGTAAGTGAATTGACACAATATGGGGAATGAATTACTATATGGGGGATGAATTACTATAGGGGGGATGAATTACTGTAGGGGGGATGAATTACTATATGGGGGATGAATTACTATGGGGGATGAATTACTATGGGGGATTAATTACTATATGGGGGATGAATTACTATGGGGGATGAATTACTATATGGGGGATGAATTACTATATGGGGGATGTATTTTCAGTTTTAAAAATGTGGCTCTCAAAATAAATTTCAATCGTGGTTTTGGCGAGATTTGGCTCAGTTGAAAAAAAAGGTTGCCCACCACTGGCCTAGGAGATCACAGCGGAAGTGGGAGCGCGTAACTGTCAAATTCGGGTACCCGTTCCCACACCCCCACTCCCCAAAGGTGCCAATCCTTAATGGGGAATGGGGGACCAATCTTTAAAGCGGAACTTCCCCTTTTGGGTGGAACTCTGCTTTAACAAAATTATTTAACAGATTCCCCCATGCACGCTATACAGCATGAATACAGGAATCACCCAATGCAGCTTTTGTATTTTGATAGCCGACACCTACACCTGCCAGAATACCCAAATAGCTGCATCTAGCTGGATGCAGCCATGGCTCAGCTGACGAATTTTCCACCCGTCTCCTTTGACTTTTCAGTCGAAAGCATTTTGGGCAGGAGGTGGCCACCAGGGTCACCCACATAGCAAAATGAGTGTGCATCCAGTTTCAGGGCTTTTAGATGTGTACACAAGGGAGGATTTTACAGGTAAACAACATGCATTAAAATACATTAACCTCCCTAGCAGTTTGATTATGTCAGTACTTCTGTGCTCAAAGCGATACATTTTTTTGCATGGAAATATGTAATTTTTTTTATTGTAGGCCTGTAATTTTTAGGAATAACTCACTGAAATCTGTCTGAACAAGGGTCTAGTAAACATCCCGGGTAGGATAAAACTTGAAACACGAAATCATAAATTATAATTTAATAAATAATCATAAAAAATTTAATAATAATAATAATAAATGTAATTCAATAATATAATCAAACCAAAAACACTGAAATTTTAAGTATAGCACCAAGTTCGCACATCATGGAGCAAAGTCGCAAAATTGTTTTCAGTGTCTGATGATGAATTTCCCCACAAATCATTATCACTCAATTCTGCAAGTGGTTCTGATTTATTATTGCTGTTCTCTAGCCGGTCTTAAACTGCTTTTGACCTAAAGGGGCGCTTTTTGGACGCCATGGACATTTCTCAGTTTCCAGGCAGAAAGAACATTAAAAATGCAGGCAGGGCACAGGACAAAGCACTCGGGACAAAATGTATGTGAAATGGTTTGATACAGTAATGTAATACTATGTGATTTTAGTGTATTTAGTGAATGTCACTTTTTAACATTTTTAAATTTCCCACCAGTTCCGGCCCCCGGAAGACAGATGCTGGCATCCGCTGGAGGAGATGGCCAGGGACGCTGCAGGAGGGACATTGTGGGAGTGCAGGACAAGGTAAGTGCAGAAGGGATCCCGGAGCAACGCTGCAAGGTATTCCCGAGTGTAGCTCGGGGTTACTGCTTTTGGTGCTGAAACTTTACCCCGAGCTACACTCGGGAATACCGCCAGGGAGGTTAAATGCACATTCTTATGGGAAAATTGATGTTGAATTGAATGGTATGGCGACAGGTCTCCCTATTTTCTATCAGGGAAATAGTCTGGTACTGTCCAGAATCTGCAGAGACGTGAGGGTTAGTATGTAACACAATGACTGTAGGGATATTGTTGCAGCACTATAACTGTACAGATCTCTGAAAAGATGTTGAATTCAAGTCAGTAACAAAATGTCTGATTTTAGACTACACAGTTTGAGCCGTACCTCCAGCACTGCTATCTGGCCCCCTGGTCCAGCCAAAGGCACAGCCACTCGCTGGTGGTTCGCACAGAAACCGTCACTCTCTCCTGGTGTGCTCTGGCTCACTCCTTTCAGGTTGGTGATGTGATTGTCACGATGGAGGACAGTGCCCTGAGTATGACGGAACCGTGAACTGGGACCTGCATATATAATAATCCAGTGAAAGCAATACAAATTAGTTTACTCCCAATACTGAAGCATATGACCAAAACATTCACTTTAAAGCAAACTTTTGTTTTGCCCACACAAAACAAGCCAACAGGTCTGCTTTAAAGCCCCCTTCTTTTTTTACTTTTCATTTGTTCCCAGCATTGCATACAGTAAAGCAGCCAATGGATGAA